TATTTTTGTCCATCCCTATTTTCCTAGTCCAGTTACCATGAAGAGATCAGAAAATTAACTGTAAGGTGAGGTGCCTATAGAAAGCCTCATTATACCCAAACGGTCATTCTTTCCTGGAAAGTCCAGAAAATACAAAGGGAACCACAATCTCTGCAGGACACACAGCATTCTTGTATAAGTAACATCCAGACTGATGTGGTGCTAATGGTTTTACCCACAGAAAAGATTTTCTGAGAGAGAACCCTTTCTTGCATGCACAATCACAAAATCACACACCTGGAGAGTCTTTAATCACAGTCTAGAACAGTAGTCAGTCAGCTCATACCCAAAAGATGACACTATGAACTAAAGAAAAGAGTTTTTAAGTTGAAGAGAACTGAGTTTTATTACCAGGTCTGGGATTTACTATATTTTTTGGCAAGTTATTTAACCTCTCTGAGCCTCTTTGTTTTTCGTCGTTGTTGTTTTTTTTCCATTTTGTTTCATATGGAAAACAAGAAGTCATCAAAACCCGTTTAAAAATTATGGCTAGAAGACCATCAGAAAACACGCAGACCTATTCTCAACTTCACAGATGAGGATAGGAAAGCAGAGAAATATGCCCAGTCATTTAAGAGGACAAGTCACTTAAGGCAAATTTTTAGACCATGTGAAAAAAGGACTTACAAGGCAAAATATAATAATCAGATGTAGGATAATGATCATCTTTTCAGGAAGAGCTTCAGTTGTACTGATAACATTTTATTTCTCACATCCTGTTTGGAGAACATGAAGTTATATATATATTATACATATGCATAATTTTTTGCTTTTAATACTTAATAATAAGTTTTTTTAAATAACCAAAACATTAACCAAAAGATTTCTCTAGAATTGTAAAGGTCAGTGGAAATAATGTGGTTTTAAACATTCTCCTACTGAGTTTAAAAGGTAAATATCACTTTGTTCCCCTAATACAAGAAAAAAAAGAGTGAAAGTCTGTAAATACACACACACACACCACCAGTTTTGCAGGTTAGTAAAATATAAACAGTATACAAATGTCACAAAACACAAAATGAACTGTATTATTAGCACCATGATTAACTCATCTAAGAATATTGAGAGAAATACTAATAATTTGTACTCTAAACATATGTCTAAGAGAAATGTATTCAAGAGTCATATCTGAGAGCCTAGTATTCAAGCCTCAGGGGTCTTTGTTTATTTGTCTATTTGTTTTTACCAAGACAAAAAGAAACTGCAATGATTTACCTAAAGTAAGTAAAGGCTTTTCTACCTCTAAATGGTACATGAAACTACCTGTAAAACCTAGACGCCTCTGAAATCTCTGAAATCTTCAAACAAGAAAGTATAGGTCATTCAGCAAAATATATTTACTGTATAATACCATAATAGCTATTTAATTGTTATCATTATGATGCAGATATATAATGGAAACAGATGTTCCTTTTTCCTTTCAGCAATGCACAGGAAAAGCATAAACTTGCTGATATTGCATGGACTGCTACCATAGCACAATAGAGGAAAAAAGACATTAGCACATGACAATATTAGTTTTTACTACACAACTAATTGCGTAAAAAGTATAACTTGAGATCATTAAATCAATATAATTTTCAGCACCACAGAAGGGAAACAAATAGATTTGTATAACCAGCCTATTTCACATCTGCATTTGGGAAAATACTTCTGAGAAAGTAAGTATATGCAAAATGCTGCCACTACTTTTAGAACACAAGGAAAAGACTGTTGTTCTGTTTTATTTGCTCATGTAACATGAATTAGAATGCTGGCTCTACAGACAAATCTTTTAAAACAGCACCAGTGTACACTGGAAGAACCTTTCTGGAAAATAATTTAGTAATCGATACAAAGTAACTTCAAAAACAGTCTATACCCTCAGTCCAAGAAATTTCTATTCTAATAATATATCATAAGGAAATAACTAGAGGGATGATTAAAGATTTATTTAAAATGTTATTCATCATAACTTTATTTATAATGGAAAACTAAAAATCTAACTCACCAATATTACAATGATGATTAATTAAAGTATATATGTTAAAACATTTTACAGTCAATATAAATGACTTTAATAATCATTTTAATTATATAGGAAAATGTTCATTGTACTATGTCAACTGAAAAATAGCAGAATATGAAGTGCTAACTATAATTTTTATAAATATATGATATATAAAAACATAAACACTTGGAGGAAAAAGGCTTAGAGAAAATACACAAAATGTCATTTTAATTTTTGAAAATTCTCTATTATGAGCAGATACTACTTTTTTAATTATAAAATGTTATTGTTTCTTTCAACAATTACACAATTCCATTTCTATGCTCTAATACACTGTCCTTGTCCACAGTTTCTAAAACTTCTTTTGGTCAAATAATGCTATAAATATTCTGGTAAATTGGCTTAAAGTTACAATGGCATGTTATTTGATCCTAAAATCTGGCATAGAAAGAAAAGTATTTGTAAATTACATAGATAACTTTTTTTATCCCGTGTAAACAGGATCCTTATAAATTAGACAATTTTTTAATAGGACAAGCATTATTAATGTTTACTTAAGGTCTATTAATATGATGTGTTTTAAGTCACCATGTCAAGGAAACTTTTCAATTAAAAACATTTCTAACGCAAATAAAATAGCCTATTAATTTTTCTCCCAGTATGCCAATAAAAAAGTTTGATATAGCTTTTGTAAGACTCCTAGTTTCATGATTGTATTTTTACGAGAAGGAGCTGATTTGTCTTAGGCTATTACTGTCTATTACTCCTAGAAGTCTTAAGGAAAGGTGGGAAGCAGCAAATTCTGGCAATCTGCCTAAAGAGAAATCAATGAAACAAATTAATCCTTCGTAGGCTGCAATGACACAGTAATCCATCATTCAGAGCTGCTTTTATATACCAAATCAGAGAGCAGAGGAAAGAGCCCTAGGGGACATCACAGACAACAACTTACACCAACAGTGGGAAAATACTGAGGAATCAGTTTATTTAAAAGGGATAGATTTCAGTTGATTGCCTATTTTGTCAAATACAGATTTTTTTTCTTTCACAGTGTGAAAGGCCCAAGGCCCAATGACTATATCTTAGAATTCAGTACCATAAATGCTTGCTGACATCAACTGGGGGTGCATGTTTTTAAATAATTAGCATCATTAATCAGTATGAACAAATATCTGGCTAGAGTAATATTACTTTTTCCATTAAACTTCCAGGTGTTAAATACATTCCCTGTTTTCAGTAGGGACTAACTGTAAATTTACCTACTAATCTAAAACTGACCAATTTCTGGTAAACCACATTTGAGATATTTTTTTCACACATAAAATGTAGTCATTTAAGAGGTGTATAACTTCCTAAGTACTATGTTAAGTTTAAAGACTTGAAAATTTTTAATTTCTTCTCTTGTGGAATAAATTTCAATAAGGAAATCAGATTATAAATAACTTGTTTTAAAACAGTAAATAGTACTTTGGCTTACAATTACAACTGACAGTGCTGAAAGATAAATTTCTGTGGTTTCTTTTTTAAAAATAAACTTATAATCAATGTACAGTCATACACTCACACTGAGTATATTTATTTCCACACGTACAAAAACATATTCATCTAATTTAGTCATGCTTATGTGGAAGTGTATGCACCTTGAGTATATCTTACTAATGTATACTGAATGGAAGTATATTCCCTGGATGAGAATTAATGACAAGAACTACAAAGTCATAGTGCCTTGCTACTGTTAAATGCACACATCATTTTCATGGTTAAGTGTGAGGAGTTAGTGAAAGAAAAAGATTTTCAGAAAATAAACAAACAATCTATCGCAGTGGACCCTGAAATGTTAGCTCTGAATATCTAATCACATACCCAAAACAGAAAAAGAAGGTCAAATAAATGCCAACTAGATAGTTTTTGAGTAGCATCTTCAATTCTGAGGTTCGTGATCATATGATAGCAATTCCTGACCATGCCGAAGCATTTTTAATTCAATGCATGGATCTAGTATTTATTGATTTAATAAGGTTAGAGATATTACACTGTTGCTGCTACTGATGAACTGTCAACAATTTAATCTAGTGAAATCTTACAGGGGAATATATATTTTAGGGGAGAGAGAGACTAAATAGCTATGTAAATGTAATCCCTTCACTACCCAGGACGGTGGCAAAAGCAAAGCCCCTTCTTTCCCAGACTACTTCAGGCTCCAACCAAATGACTGAGGTGACAGTGAACAGACTGCAGCAATGTCTTGGAGGTACACTTTCAAAACATTATCCACAGCATCATTACCATACAGGCAGGCAGAAAAGAAGGAAGAAAATTCACTTTCTCAAAAGCCATTCTGCCAAAAGTACAACCACAAGAGAGAGGTGTTAAAGGCTATATCGAAGTAAGGAGGTATTACAGAGTCCAGAATCAGAAAAAGGAAGAAAATCCACCTGAATTTGCTGAAATAAACACTTGGGGACTATTAGGAAGCTTTTTGCGCTGCTGTGCTACCCTGCTTGTGGGCTTATTTCCCCAACCTGGACACCTGGGAAGCATGTTGTGCTCCAGCTTTTCCCTGACTTTGAAGAAATGGATAATCTAAGAAGCGGTGCTGCTGCTAGGGTCAGTAAAACTATGCTAATTGGTGAACCTAATTGCTTCAAGCAGTCCTGCCTCTAAACAGGGAGAGCACAGTTGATGGAGTCAGTCTGTTCCTAATAAAATGAAGAAGCACTGAATTAAATTCCCAAGGAAGGCACTATAAAAGTTTCCACAGTGTAACCAAATGACTTCACCTATGCTATTACCCCTAAGATGACATCTTTGAAAGAAAGCAGACCCCAGTCAGGCTCCATATTCATAAATTGGCTGAGCTTAGGCCAGTGAATCTGGATTGATTTAAAAAGGCTTTTTCATCCTTCCAATCAAATGAAGTCATTGTTAATTAGATGCTTTCTGTTAACAATGTCACTCTTCTCCACATTACCTGCTCACACTTGCAGCGCCTCTAGTGCAACATCTGGAGCACCAGTGCCCCTGCAATCAGTCCTCACAAGTTTGGCTGGAGAGTGGTGGCATTTCCGCCTCGCAACCCCTGTCTGAAGGAAGACACGGTTCAGTGTGCTGCTGGGGAGGCGCACGCCAACTTTCTCATTTGAAAGATTATAAAGCAATCTCTCCGAAAACTCTTCTCCCCAACGTTTTTTATCAACTGCACAGCACTTGGTGCCGTTCCCGCTTTGCCGATGGGTGTTTTCAAAAATCCCTAACGCCACAAAGTCAGCTCCCACAGACCTTCAGCTTCGTAAGACCAAGTTCCCCCTACACTAGGAAACCGGAGTTGAGGCGTCGCGGCCGCCCCCGGGCCCTGCCACCCACCCGCCTCGGCCTAACGTGGACTGGCCGCTCCAGGGGGGGCGGCCTGGGGGGCGGCCTGGGGGGCAGCGAGGCTTAGACCACTCTGGCCAGAGAGCGGAGAGAGGGCTCCCGGGGCGGGCGGGCAAAAGGCGTTCCTTCGACGGTGGCTCTGCGGCCCTCACATGGTCCGGCGGAGGCCGCCTCACACTCCTCCTGGCGAGTTCCGAAGACGTTTGTGGCTCGGACTTGAGGAGACACAAACTGCGGGCGCCGACCGCGGGCGAGGGCCGGGGTTGGGGAGCGTGCGCCACCCCCCGGTGGGGCTGGCTTCCTTAATGAATCTTCCCCCCCGCGCAGGCCTGGGACTTGGTCACTCCGCTTGCTCCCGGGGTAGTGGCCTTAAGCCCCAGCCAGAGCACGGGTCCTGCGGTCAGACGAGGCCCCGGTGGCCCAGCCCCGTGCTCGGGCCCCTCAGGGCGCGGGGAGTCACCCTGGTGTGTGGCGCCTGCAGGCGGCCTCGCCAGCGAGGCTCGGTGCCCGGATGTGGGCCTCGCTTCCGGGAGCTGCCCCCTCGGGCGCCGCGCTCAGGGCCGGAACGCCGGGGCCTCGAGGGAAGGGGTGGAAGGGCCCCGGGGCCCTTACGAGAGAGTTTGATTCGCACAACGCAGAGTTGGTTCGAAAAGGAGCGCCCTTGTGGGGTGAGGCGCGTGAGGAGACGCCCAGGGGAAAGGGCCCTTGACTTCGGAAGGGAAGGGACGCTCCTGGCTGCCCTCGCGACGCCGAGGACCACGCCGACCCCAGCGCTCACGGGACCCACCTGAGGTGTCACGGGCACCTCAGGACCCGGGAAGACGGCAGGCCTCCGGGAAAGCTCCGGGGCCCTGCCGCCGGGGAGCCCCTGGGCGAAAAGCGCTCACCGGGGCCTAGACTGAGACCCGGGCCCCGGGCCCTGACGCTGAGGTGCCCGAGGACGACACCTCGGCCTTGGAGTCCTCCCTGGCGGGGCGAGCGGAGAGTCCGGGCGGGGGGGGGGCGCTCCACGACTTGGAGACAGTGAGTCCCGATTCCCTGCAGCTCACGGAGGTCAGAACCTCGCCAGACGAGCGTAGGCGGTGAGGGTGGGAGGGCAGACCTCGCTGCGACGGGCCGACAGCGAGCGGGGACTCTGAATGCCATTTCTTCAAGTCCTTGACCCCAGAGCGTCGCCCGGAGAGACCACGGCCGGCCTCTCCACAGGCGGGTTCGGGGAAACTAAGTTTCCTGAGCCTCTCACCCCTGCTACGTGCGCTCAGCAGCAACCCAAACACCTGCCATCTCCCCAAACAGTAAAATAGGGACGGTGCCTGGAGTCATTTCTCCCTCCATTTCCAGAGGGAGCTCAAGCCCGAAGCATCAAGGTCGTCCCTCTCCAAACAGTAAAACAAGATACTCTCAAAACCTGCCAGGGACACCACCGCCTGTCCCCGGAGGGGTTCCCCTTTGCAAATAGAAAGAGGTTTGCTTTGTTTTGCTTTGCTTTGCTTCATTTTAGCGCTCGTGTGATTCTAGCTGGGGGCTTGAGCGGTGTAATAAACTGCTCTGACCCTCTGGAGACTAAACTAGAACTGAGCGGAGGGAAATCAGGCGGGAAAAAAGGGAAGGTGCTGAGCAGTGGCGGACGGGAGGGAAGTCCGGGTGGGCGGCGCGCTGGGCCGCGCGGACCTGCGGAGCGGGCCTCTCGGGCGGGTGCGCGTCTCGGGGCGCCCTGCCCCGGGGCCCTGGGCTGACCGGAGAAAATACCGCCACGTGCTCGGGGCTGCTGGGCGCAGCTCTGCACTTCGGGGGCGAGACGCCACACACACACACACACACACACACACACACACTCACACACACACACACACACACTCACACACACACCACCAACACCGCCCTCCCCCAGCGCCCGCCGCTCTTTTCTAGCCCTGGGGTTCCTCTGAGGTTGTCCAGGCAGCGGAGCCCCGTGAGTTCCCGCTGGCCCGGCCCTTTGCCCATTTGGCTCACACTGGGCGAAGGGGTAGCTCTAGCCGGGGTGGGAGGGCAGCCGGGGGCGCCAGTGGTACAGGGACCCAGCTCTGCACAAGGGAAGGGCTGATAAAGTGGTCAAGCCCGGGGCAGGGTGACCTGCTCCGTGGCTCCGGGCTCCTCCCCGCCATTCACTCTGGTCACCTCTCATCCCGAGCTCGCCGGGTCCTTGCACCGCCCCGCTCCCCGCTACCGCGCGACGACCCCCTACCAGCCCGAGCTGCGCGCCCTGGTGGTTCCCGGGTGCCCCGGCCCTGGGAGCCAGGGCTCAGCCCTCACTGAAGCCTCTAATGGAAACAGCACAAGGGCCGTTTTCCCTGCCTCCAGACCCTCCTCTTATCCTCCCACCCCGCGATGACCTGCCCGTGTTTGGGGTGGTTGGCGTTCTTTTAAAAGTATATCAAAGGATCATTGTCGTCTCCCCGTCAAGTCATTATGCCTTTATCCCCATCAATTAACCACACCTCAGAGGGCTGCTATTACGAGCTAAATTGAGCTGCAAAAGTAGATATCCCGTTTCGGGCAGATGTTGTCACTCCCGCTGAGATAAGCGGACCGTGGGACCTGGCTGTCAGCTTCCGCAACTGCGCGAGCCGCGCCGGACCAGGCTAAGGACTCGGGACGGGAAGCGGGAAAGGATACTGCGCTGGTGCTCCCCGAATCGGAGGAGCCGGACCGGCCCCAGCTCTCAGACCTCAAGCGCTGCACATGTCAAGGGGAAGTGTCTCCAGAGTTGCGCCAGGGAAAACGCCAAGAGCGGGCTTTGCCTTTTTGTGCAGACGGGGGCTGGGGTTGGGTGGGGGGAGGAGGCACCGAGTTGGGTTTGTCTGGCAGCCCTCCACCCACACACTCTCCTTCCTTATCCTGCCGCTCCAGCTTTTTCTTCCCTGGTACCTGGCCCCCAGAACCCCTTGTGGAAGAAGGCAACCTGCTGTGGGCATGCTGGATATGGAGCTAGGGAATCCGGGGCAGAAAAGTGCCATTTAAGACAAAGGGGGTTCACCAAGGGCTGCCGCGGCCTTCCGCCCAGATGTGTCTTTCCAACTTTCTCCCAATCACTCCTGAGGCCTCGGGCGCTGGCTGCCGCACACAGCTGGGAGACCCTGGAGGGCTGAGGGATGGAAGGAGCAGTTACTCTAGAAGTGAATACAAGTGTATGGACAGCTAGCTAAGTTTGCATAGGACCACATCCCTACATACATGTGCTTAGAGCTTTTTCGGCTTTCCTCCCGACAGTGGCCACAACTTCAACCAAGGCTAAAGGAGATTAATTTCCCAGCATAATCCAATTAAAAGATTCCTGAAGTAATCTTTTGAAAAAATGGGGGGGGGAGTGCGCGGATAAAGAGGGGACTGGTTTTGATGACAGTGATTTATCGCCTGGGCACAGCATGCGCTGGTCGCTAGCTCTCTCGCACACGCGATTTGACCAGAGCATCCTGTCGGTGCCTCTAGTCCAAACGTTCGCTTTTCTGAAAGGCAGCCATCCATCACGCCAACCTGGGCAGAAGAGAATGTGCAAGGGACTGGGATTGCTTACAAGCACCATAGACTTTTTTAAGTGCTATTAGATTTATGATCTCTTTTTCGACGCCCATCCAGAGTAATTAGCACATATGTTCTAAATAGATGATAGTTTTGTGAGCAATAAAGCAATTACCCATCGTTGGAGCTGACAGTTCCTCCAACTAAACTCCAACCAGCAGCTAATTGGAAAAGTCATTTCAGCTCCATTGTCTGCAATTAGTCCTGCTAAACTACTACACCCCAACTAGCTGGTTTGAGGTTAATTTATTCGGTGTTGTATTTGCACGGAGAAGCCACTGCCACAAAGGGACTCGCCTTTTGCCCCTTCGGACCTCACCCTGGGACTAGAGGGGCAGGTGGGAGGGAGAGGCCAATATTTCGGTGTTGGGATGGTTCCCAGGGGAGGAAGCGCCCGGCCCCATGGCAGCCTCAAGGTCAGTGTCCAGTGCACTGAACATGGCTGACAGAGAAAGCCATTGTTTTTCCTCCTGGTTAGCAACTAACTAAAGGAAACTGTGTAGTTCCTGCTACCAAAAGCTTAGTTTAAAGATCAAGGGTGGGGCATGGGGATGGCTGGGGTGGGGAGATGGAGACAACTGTATTTGAACAACAATAAAAAATAAAAAAGTCAGCATAGAAGAAATGACTGGGCTCTGAGTGCACCTTTCCTCCTGCACACCCAGTTCTGACCCCAGGTCATGAAACTGTCCCTAAGGAATAAACAGACTCAAAACCCCACCAAAACAGCAAAATTCCAGGCCCTCAGCTGGGAGAGAGAGCCTTCGGTTCTTGGTGTGGCTCAGGAAGAGAAAAAGCTAGAAAGGTTAGGAAGCTCTGCTTTTGCCTTCAGCCACAACAAGGTCACTTCTTCTCTTGAAACTGAAGTTTCTCCGCGGCTCTTTTCTATTTTTTCCTTCCTTCTTGCCTTACCTTTTTCCTTCTTTCTTTTCTAAACTTAAGCCAAACAGGTCCAAGATTGTGCACAGGGAGTGGAAAAATGTGTTCAATGCTGGTTTGACACCCCATCAGAACTTCCAAATACCCAGTGGCTGGGATTCTTCTATTTAATTTAATCTTTATTGGACAGGTTGGCTCCTACTCTTTTATTTACCAGGAAACTCCGGGAAATGACCCATTGGGGTTCATAATGGAGGGCGG